TGTGGAATCCTGCTGGATAAGGTGCCTCTCCTAGGGCTTTATTTATTTATTTTTTTAACTTCCCTTTTAACTTGGTCTGCGATTGATTGAGACATTATCTTAGACCTTGGAAGCTGTAAGCCATATTGGGGAATGACAAACACTTGGTTAACAGCTTTGAGAAGATGGATGGAAAAACAAAGTTCATGTGTTTGTTTTTCTATTGAATTTTAAGAAGAATGTCACTCCTTATTTAGTACAGGGAAAGAAAAATTTGCACCTCGTTATCAAATTCAATATTTTCTGAACCTGGCTTACAAACATCTCTAATACACCACTTTTACATAGGGTATAATTTATCAAAGTAGAAATAGGAAGTGCCTCACTGGGGTCAAGTTATAATTTTTTCTACTTTTGGTATCTGTGTGTTGTTTTAGCTTACAGAATTCAATAGTATCTTAAGTGTATATTGTCTATTAGAATATTAATGAATATATCTTTTATCTGAGCATCATCTCTTTGTAGTAATAATAATAATCTAGTATAATATCATATAATAAGAGAAGAGCACAAATCTCATAATAGGCATCATTAGATTTTCCGTGGTAATGGTTCCATGTGGCTTCATCATGTGGCTATGGGTGGGGGGAGAATGATCCATTTACTCTGCTATCAAATATAACTATTAAATTGATTCCCAAGCTGACTGAGACACAGATTAATATGAATTATTAATTGTGTTTCTATTGATTAATGCCTTTCAGATACTTCAGCTAAGAATATCCTTTCCACCATAGGCAACTTATATTTAGAATGTTTGAAGTGAAATGATTTGGGGTTATTTGTTTTATAGTATGTTCTAAATATTTCACTACATGCCTGCAGACATTTTCCTACTTTCTCCTAGAAGTACAATTTTTATTTCCTATACAGTAAACATGCTTGTGATTTGACTTTGGGATACTGTGTCACTCTGCCTTTGCACCACCCTCCTTCCTCCGCTCATAAGATAGTTGTTGCCTCCTGGTGGTTCTGAGCTTCAATTTTGAGCTTTCAGGTAGTAAAAGCCAGGGCTTCCAGCACCATTTTTCCTGCTTCATGTCAAGAGCCTGCATGTAGAAGAACACCATGCAGATTAAAAAACACCAAATTATGGTAGCACATTTGACATTGAATCCAGTCATTCCTAAAAGCAGGAAAGAGTAACCCTGTTATAAGAGAGAAACCTCATTTTTTTTTTTTATTTTTTATTTTTATTTTATTTTATTTTATTTTTTTTGAGCCAGTTGGGCTGTGTTTCTTTCATTTTCAGCCCCAAGATCTGAGTCATATAACAGATCCTAGGGCTGCTGGAGGGTGAGAAATGTGAGTGAGTGGATGACTGCCTAAGAGGGAAGATGGTGAGATAGGGAACCTGAATAGAACAGGAAAAGCTTAAAATGAAAGCATTGATTGATGGATTTTTCTGAGAAAAAGAGACTGAAAGTAAAACTTTTTAGAATGTAATATAGCTAGAAAAGAATGTTTGCTGAAAGTATTACTTCTGTGCAGTGCACATCACTCTTACTTTTGAAATGTTTAGTGTTCGTGTATTAGGACATTGGAGGAAAGGGCAGAGATGGAGCCCTGTGGGTAGTGACCAGTGGAATCAGTGGTCATTGGTTTCTTCTTCTCTTGTGTCCTGTTTCTGGCCACAGTCAACCTAAGAGAAGGAAGGGCATATTTCCCTATGTTTTGGTTTGTAAAGTCCCAGAGAAGGGCTTTCAGTATCCCAGTGTGAATCAGATACCCACTCAGTCACTGTGTCTAGGCATGGGGTGAGAGACTGCTTATTTGTCCACTGGAGACCTAATGAGCGGAACCTTCTCAAAGAGTGTGACCTGAGCAACTATCCCAACATGCTCACTGAAGCATGCCACCTCTGGTGGTCACGTGAGTGATTGTGTGTGCAAAATGGTGCAGACATTGTGTTCTAATGGGTTGGTGATCCTACGTTTTATTTTCAACTCGTGTTTACTTCACTGTTTCAGATGTAGTTGGGATTAAATGAAATGATAATACGAAAAAGGTTTTTATAAAGCATAGGGTGAAAAAGCTGTGTAAATCTACTGCTTAACTGTATTGTGTTTTTGGAAATGTGGTTTTACTGTCTAAACCAAAACAGCTAACATAACTGAGAGGCACTATAGAAAACACATGAAAAAGAAAGTAGCAGCCCTCCCTGGTGGCGCAGCAGGTTAAAGCACAGCACTGAGAATCTAAAGCCGCCTCCGCATGAGTTCGATTCCCGCCTGCCCCGGAGGTGACCACATGGCGTGGCAGACCTCTCCTGACACGCCCGCTGCTCCCCTCAGCAGTGTACTTCATCGATCTGCCTGTTCTGCTCCCCACTCTGTCTCTGGTGAAGCTTCTCACCGCCCCTGAGCCTCTGGTCTGTACCCCAGTTCTGTATGCACAAATAAATAAATCTTAAAAAAAAAAAAAAAGAAAGTGAGCTCTGATCTCTTGGAGCTAGGAGGAATCATCTCACCTTCACTGAAGTGAACCACAAGTCTGGTTATCATGATAGTTCTACCTGGAGGTTGGTTGTCCTGATAACTTAAATCTTCATGGGAGCAGAAACTGCTGCCACTCACAGAACCTGGAGTTCAGTTCCATTGTCCTAAACTTCAGTTCCCTTTCGATGGCCAACTTGCCAAAACTGTGTAAAAGTTAATTTGGTTTTCATCCAGATGCAATAATTCATTATAATTTCTGGACTAAGAGTGTGTGTAGCGTGTGTACAGACACCGACTTGAGAACTACCAAGATAGATAATTACATAAGAGTTTCTGCGTTATTAGATAACACTTACCAACATTTGAATAACTTGATTTATAACTAGAATCCTCATTTGTCCTATGAAATTAAATTATTTCAAAAACCTGTTTGTGTTTGAATATTTGGAAGAGCTAAAAACAGAACATTTTAATTACATGTAATTTCAACTAATTCAATAAAGATTATAGACTCAGCAAAGAATTTTTAAGTTATAAATTATAACTTATTTTATTTTATTTTAAAGATTTATTTATTTATGCATACAGAACTAGGGTACAGGCCAGAGATGCAGGCATGGTGAGAGTCTTCACCAGAGACAGAGTGGGGAGCAGAACAGGCAGATTGACTAAGTACACTGCTGAGGGGAGCAGTGGGCATGTCAGGAAAGGTCTGCCATGCCATGTGGTCACCTCCGGGGCAGGAGATCAAGCTGGCACTGAAGCGGCTACAGCTAGGTTGTAGTACTGCGTCCTAACCCCTTGTGCCACCAAGTAGAGCCCTATGTTTTAAAGATTTATTTATGCATACAAGAACTGTGGTGGGTCCAGGTGCAAGGGGGTAAGAGAATTCACCAGAGACAGAATGGGGAGCAGAACAGATGAATCTTCTGAGGGGAGCAGCAGGTGGAACATGAGAGGTCTGCTGAGCCACATGGGTCAGCTCCCTGGCTGGGGATTGAACTCAGGCTGCAGTGGCTTCTGTAGCTTCATAGTGCTGTACTTTAACCCGCTGGGCTACCAGGGAGGGCCCAGGTTTCTCAAGCCTTGATTAAACAATATGATTTAACCTTGGAATCATACTTTTTTTTCTTTTTTTTTTTTTAGTTTTCAAATGTTCTCTTAATAGTACCTAGAGAATATTTTGAATAATTTGTTTTTACATCATTTTGTGCTTTTCCATCTCAGTTATAATCCCTGTGGGCTTCCCACCACCAGTTCACCCATGTGCAATCATCATAGTCCAGTGCACTTCCCCCACCTCCATTTTTGATCCCATTCCCCACTCCACCCCCATAAAATGTCTCTGGTATATAGTTGTTCATTATTATTATTATTATTTTCTCCCCTGGCCCTTTATATTCCTGCTATGAGTGAAACCATCGGTATTTTTCCTTTTACTTCTGGCTTATTTCACTAAGCGTGATCTCTTCCAGCTCCATCCATTTTGCTGCAAAAGTCATGTGTTTCTTTTTTTGATGCTGAGTAGTATTCCATTGTGTATATGTACCACATTTTTTTCATCCAGTCACTTATTTTGGGGCATTTGGGTTGATTCCATGTCTTTCCTATTGTAAATACAGCAGCAGTTAACATGGGGGTGCAGGTGTCTTTTTGAATCAGTGTTTTTATGTCTTTTGGGGGAATCATTCTTTTTAAGAGCAACTCCAGGAATTGTTAGGGAACATAGTTGGAGAAATACTGCCATAGACCTTTGGTTGAACTCTTATTTCATCTATTGATTTTCTTCAAGTCAAAGGTCTTCTCAAATGATAACCTATCAGCACTCTTGAGCCCTCTTCTATACCAAAGAGAGGTTACAAGTCAGAGTGATTACAAACAAATTTAAGAACATGCTGTGCATTTGGCAAGTCCTCAGAAAATGAGTTTTGGCATTCTCCTGGACCTTGTCCTTTAATAAACAGGAAGCAGTTCTCCATTGTTGGGGTGGCCCTGCCAACCTACGAACAAGAAGGATTTGAGAGGGTTGGGGTGCTGATAATGATAAGCTCGGGTGTGAAGGAGAATTATTCCAGACAGAGAGGGATGGTGCTCTCATCTCAGCACATAACCTGCAACAGTGTGTGCAGTTTCATTTGGAATCTTAATTACTTCGGTCCCGTTCTTGACATCAGTAGCCCATTTCCCAGGGTTGATTGATTCTTGGTTGATTCACAGGCTTTAAATCAATAAAAGGTTCTGAAATCATTTACTAATGCTTTAAACCTGAAACAGTGACTTTGAAAAATACAATTATGTGCCTAATGGTGGTTTTCAAAATGGGTAAAAATGGAACCGTGCATATTCCTGACAACTAAATGCATGTAACTTTTAAAAAGTGTCTCTCTCAGAGAATCTTCCTTCAAAGGAGCTCAAGAGTGTTAGTTTACACTATCAGAATCAGTTTAACATAGAATTGAAAGGGAGACGAATTTGGGTTACATAGTTAATGTTTTTTCTCTTTCCTTTAATCTTTTTTTACAGTTTTTTGAGGTGCCATTTGACTCAAACATGAATAGGACAAAGAACAGACCTTTGGTTCGTGGACAGATCAGGTAAAATCATAAACTTGCCTCTTCCCCCTTATAGAATATTCATTTGTGTTTTCATCCTGCATCATTTTCCCATCTTGCCCCTTTTTTGAAGAATAATACACCCTCAAAAGAACATACTGCTGTGGACTTTTCAACCCCAGCCACGGTGTTCTACAGAGCATTTACTGTGGATGTAAATGGATGCAGTTTTATTATGGGAGTAACTCGTGATAGATTTTTTTATTAAATTCAGTTTTGAGATAGGGACTTGTTTCACTTGTAGTGACTAAAGATAAAATCATTCCATTAACACGAATGATTTCAGACGGATCCATATAGAGTCTCAGAAGAGATGTCTGAAGCCTTACTTTTCCAGATAAACTGATACTGCTGCTATATGCCAAGTGAAGTGCCGCCTCCATTACTCTCCTTCGCCCCAAATTCAATTAAGTAGAACTAAAAGGCATATAAATATTTTAATATCACTAATGGTTAATAATTAAACATTTTACTTCCTGGAGTCTTCAAAACCAGCATTTTAAAATAATTTTTTTAATCAGTAGATAGCACAAGTCGAGAGTAAAAAAGAACCAACTGGTATATAGAGACTATTGTAAATCAGTGAGTCCTCTCTGATTTCCAGGCTGTGCCTTCATGGAGCTTAAAATTTATTGGGGTAGCATTTGTGGATCAAATAAGCTTATACATATCTTAAGTAAATCAATAAAGGAAACCAAAGGAGATACCATAAGTCTATATAAAAATGATTAGCTGTTTATAACCATTCAGTTCTGAAAATGAATTTAAAATACTGCAAAGGGCAATAGAACCAGATGAAAACACGTGAGAAAAGCTACCTCACTTCTACTGATATTTGAGTGTCTGTTTTTGAAATGCAAATAAAAGTTCCTCTGTGTTTATGTTTGGAAAGTGTCATGAGTACTTTTATTTGAGGACAGTTGCTTTGGAAGGGTGACAGAAACTCAAACCCCAAAAGCTAAATGTTACTCTTGCCACTGGTCATATCATGAATATGTTCTTATTTACCAAGAAATTCTGTCCAATTGTTTTCTCTCCTTTGGAATTGGGGGAAATACAAGGACAGGCCCAGTAAGCTGCCACTAGGCATCTAACAAGGTAAAGGCCCATGGCTCTGCTGTAGCGCATCTTCCTTTGCCCAGAGTGACCATTTCTTGCAGTCAGGAGGGCCACGAGTCCACACATTCAGCAAGGTGGCACATCATGGCTTTGGTGGTTGATACTGGCAGTGCCCTTCGTTAGGAAGAGCAGCTGCAGTACAAATACTAGTCTTATTAAAACCATGACTTTGTCTTTACTTGGAAGATAACTCAGGTGGCATCACATCCATGAGAATATACCTTAGTTACCATTTCAGAGGGCAGATTGTAAACTCCCATTTTTATATAAATAGCTTGGATGTATTTTATTAAATAGGTTCACGTAGCTATTGTGACCACTGTTGAAATCTTGCTTGGAAAGCCTAGATATAAAGCTGAAAACTTCACATATTACCAGTTAGTATTTTATACAATAAATTACTATGTACTGCGCAGATCATTTATAAGACCATATAGTTAATAAGACCATCTGGTGGTAGTAGAAAGTCTTTCAAATTCTCCATTAAAGTGCTTTGGTGATTCTCATCTTTTAATAGGGATTGGACATTTCAGTACAGAGGATAGCCAGGTTATTTTGAAATTCTTAATCTGATTTGTGCTGAAATGATTTCGTGAATCTCTACAACTTCATCAACTTTGTTTACAAGTTGACATGTAAATTGTAAGTCCCTGTCACTGTTGATAAGCAACATTATAATAAATTTGGGGAAGAAATCCCTGACATTTTTTGTGGATGTCAGCTCTCTTAGCCTTTGTACCTACCTTGGTTTCTGTCCATTCTACAGTTATACTGTTAACATGTATGGGAAAATACTTTTACATTTTTCAAGTAACTTAAGTCTGTTTTGAAGATTTTTTTTAGTGAACAAAATCATATTTCTAAGTAGTTAAAATAATGTGGTAATACTGAAGGGAAAAATCATACATAATATAGAACTGTTTTTTGCTCATCTTATTTATTCTTCATTCCAGAAAGAGATAGAGGTGTCATTAAAGTACCTTTAGTAAAAAGGAGAAGTTGGTAATGAAAGTCAGGGTTATGGAAAACATAATTTAACAAGAAAGCTTATCAAATCAACACAGTTAATAAGGTTGAACTGTAAGTGTCATTGTTTTCTTGGTGACATCACAGTGGCTTCATGATAACCACCACGTTATACTTATTTAATTCTCCCTCATGTGTCATGAAGTTATTGTATGTAAATTCCCCCTAATTCTCAGTTGAGGAAGCTGAGGAGCCAAGTAATATTTAAAAGTAAGTAACAGAATCATACTTTGGCCTACTTCTCCACACCCTGAGTTGCTACAGCTACACTAACTTAAAGAGACTTCAAAAAATCTCTTTGTCTATAAAAAGAAAACACTTTAGGAGACTAAATGTCTGTTTCTTCTTAAAAAATAAAAAGGGGGCACTTGATTGTTTTAATGGAATATTCTCAGCAATTTCTGTGAATAGCAGGTTTCTATGGCAGCTCAGAGCAAACCAATGACAGAATTGGTTTTGGGACAGCTCCCAGTGGAACCACTTAGAGGGATATCCTTATAGCAAGGGGGAACAAGAAGCTTTTGGTCAGAAATTGAGGCTTAGGTTGCTTCTCCAGTCATTGAGGAGGTGCAAGAGTGGAGAAAGAAGGTGCCAGTGCCCTTTGTGTCTTAGGTGTTGGCTGGGCTCACAGAGAGAAAGTGCTCTGTCACGTGATCTGATCGCCACGTGACTAACGGTCCAGTGGCCAGTCATCCAACTTATATCTTTGGTAAATGCCTGTTGTGTTAGCAGATTTATTGGGAATGTGCCCTCTTAGTCTCAACAATGTCCACGTGGGATAATAACTATATGACATTATATATAAAGAGAATAATGCTGATGACGATGATGTTCACAGTATTCCCTTATTTTTAAAACTATTTCATACAAATATGATTTTTTAAAAATAATTTTTGCCTAGAAGATCTGGGGTGTAGGCCAGAAGTACAGTTGGGGGGGGCGGGGGACGGGGGAGAGGATTCACCACAGACAGAGTGGAAAGCAGAGCAGGCAGATTTTACTGACATATTCTGCTAAGGGGAGCAGCAGGTGAGACAGGAGAGGTCTGCTGTGCCTCATGTGAGTCAGCTCTCTGGCCAGGGTTCGAATTCAGGCTACGGTGGTGATAGCACTGAGACTTAACCCCTAGGCTGCCAGGAAGGTCCACTATTTCTTACAAATTCTAATTGTTTTTTTTGTTTGTTTGTTTGTTTTTTGCCTAGAAGAGGGGGGGGGAAGCACAAAGATGGAAAATATGACATATCTAAATCAGTATGAGTAGGCATTATAAAATAGACCCCTTTAAATAGCTTTTTAAATTTGGCACTCAAAATCCTTGTTTTCTTATAAATTGGGAAAAGATAATAAGGTTGATTGATTTGTCTGGACATTTCTGACAAAAATGTCATGGCTCGGATTGTTTGAGGAAGGAGTTGAGCTTAGAGTTCTCATTCTCTAGTAAAGAACACACCTTAGAATGTATATTTCACGTGTCAGGTACTCACACTGAGTGGTAAGGAAATCCACTTAAGTTGAAGCTGCATACTCAAAGTCATGTAGTGAAGGCAAATGTCAGAGAAGTTTACCTCATTAGAAAGTCAGATTCAGCATAATCCAATTTTAGTTTGGTAATGGAAAAAAGTTAATTGGCAATTAAAAAATACATGATAGAAAACTTCTTGCCTTTAGATATTCTTCATATGGTAATCATAGCCTGGTGAGAAATGATTCTAAACTACTCTAACCTTGGGAAACTGATTGAGTTAATTTTTCCACCCTACTGCTTCCTCACATGTAAAGTGGTATAATAATTCCTCGTTTATCTAATAATGTTTTTGTGGCGATAACAATAAGATCAGCAAAGTGATGTGAAGAGAAGTGTGTTGGTGGGAAACAGGCCCAAAACTAAAGAAATGCAGAGTAGTTTGCAAAACTTTCTTCTATTTTCAAAATTTGTTTTAAAATATAAATAATTTATACCCGGCAATAACATTAAAAAAGCTCAGATTAATTTTAAAGAATGGAAAGAAGCATAACATATGGCAAATAAGGGAACTCAGAAAGCAAAAGTTGTATGTTTCCATTATTATGCTTAAGGTTTCACTGAGTGGAAAGAAGGGAGTTGTGAGTAATTGACTACTCCATTCACGTCAGCAGCAGCACACCTGTATGAGAACGTTGTCCCTTTAGAGAAGTGTGCTAGATGTTATTATTTCAGAGAGGTAAACTACGTGATTTCCACTCTCTTAAAATCAACATTGAGAAGACAACACACATACATAAAAGCCCTAAATGCTAACTAAGATATTTTTTGAAGGTGTCTGCCAATCAGGCACCTGTGACAGGAGTTGCAGAGGTGACCAGGGCGCTTCTGTCTGTAGTGGGACCACTTAGCTAAATATCTGCCATATCTTGCAGTAAATTCTGTAACAGCTACATGGCTTGGCGACATGGGAGCACAATGAGCAGAACCTAACTTTGAAGTATAAGGTCAAGGGTGACTTGTCAGTGGGATTGATGTCCTCAAAGTGAGAACCGAAGGATAAGGAAGCGCTCCACTCTGGCTCTGTCCCATCTGCCTCCTCCACCTCCTCCTCCTCAGTCCTTCCTTCCCCACAGACTCTGCACTCTACACTGTTGTCCCTCCGGTTCAGGTCTCTTCTAAAACTAGACCCACACCCCCCACCCCCCACCCTGTAGGCATCTCAGGTTCAATTAAGTGTGCACACCAGTTCCGTCTTTTCTCTCGCATACCTCCTATGTACTTGTTTGTTTACAGTCCAACGTCAGCTGTCTGTGTGTCAGTCAAGGCTTTCTTTTCCTCTCATCCGCTTCATCTAGTTATTCAACAAGCCTTT